TACTTCACTTATGGAAAAGTCCCTCTAATCTTTAAACAAATTCCTAAGAGGAAAAAAAATGGCTATAGGCTGTGACCTGTCCTTAAAATCTGGGTCACAAATCATCAAAATGATCCAATTTGTTTGCTGTGGGTAAGGTATTATTCTAGGCACGTAATGATATATGTAGTTAAACCTCATGCTATGGTGTCTCATTACAACTAGGAAAAAATAGAGGTAGGATGACACAGTAGACTGAGAGGGAGGCTTTGGGACCAGAAGGTCCTAGGCTTAAATCCTGGCCTCACAGCTTACTGGCTATGTATGTAGCCGCCTGACAGGTTATTTAATCTTTGTGAGCATTGATTTCCAAACCGGTGTAGTAGGTCTGCAAAGCAGCTGACACATACTGGAAAAGCAAACAGAAGATGATAACGATCATCATTCGACAATTATTTATTGAGCGTCCCCTGGGTTCCAGGGCTCTGCTAAGCACTTAGAACACTAACGAAACCTTTTCACGCTGTGGACAGGCTCTCTAGGGAGAGGAGGACAAAAAGAGAGAGAGCAAGAGAGAAAGAAGAGTTGGAAAGGGAGTTAGCACCCACTTTTTTTTAACAGGGTCTGCTTTCAAAAGGACCCTAGAAAAGTCTTTTCCCGTATACACCCTAGAACTATTCACTTCCTGCGTTTGGTTTCCTTCCATTTCCTGCCACTATGTTATTTGGAGTTTATTTCTCAGTGGTTTTCAACCCAAAATCTCTCATCGAAGCTTCCATTTTGTATTTAATTTGGAACCTACCAAGTTCTCGTGCTTCTCTCGGTTATAGCCTCTGCCTGAAAGTTCTTCTGGATTCCTCCTTTATTGATCACTCCCATTGCCATTACCCTTGGGTTTTCAAATATTTATATTAGCACTTTACGTCCTACTCCAATCCTCTGTTCTGCTCTTCACCTAGTCTTGACCTCTGGGTCCAGCCCTCCTAGCGGTTAGGAAGAAGCCTGGGGAAGTTTCCTTACGCAGAACATTGGCAATGTTTTAGACTCTTTCCACGGGCACTCCCATGTCTTGTTCCCTGCCTTCCCACAAGATCATCCCTCCCAGTCTTTCCTATCTGTTCGGAAGAGTTGACAGTTTTATTCTCCTGAAACACGAATTAGATCTTTCACCTCACACTCCCCTAATCCACTTCCCCTAAACATCCAATTCGATGTGCAGGCAGCTACTTCAGTCAGCCTTTCTATCTAACTTCTCCTCTCTGCCCTGAGCAGGACACCCTCCTTTCTGGTCCTCCAGCCCCCTTTACACGTAGCAATGACTTTTCTGCTTTCCAAGCTCTGCTTTCTCGCCCTGACCTGCCTCTCCTTTCACTTGCTGCCTGCGCCCCGCCTCCCTATGGCACACGCGCTCCACTCTCCTGGCCTCAAACAAAGGAGAAGTTAGCCCTTTGTTGTATCAATGACAATGATGGCTGGTTTTCTATTCTTTTGTCCTCTAATTGTTTTGAGCATACATCTTACCTCTCCAACCAGACAGCGTGAGCGCTCTAAGAAAAGGCTCTGTCTCAGAAGCTGTTGTATCACTTAACTCCTAACAGGAGGTCAGGCAATTGACTGTAACTTTTGACTCTTGCCTTGCTCTTTCACATTGGCTGGAAAACAACGAAACATTTAGTAAACTGGGTTTGACAAGATCTTTGAGAGTAGATAGAGCTCTACTCTATACCTGTTTTACAAAGACTGAATTTGGTTGTGAGTATTTTGTGACTGTCAGTTCACTAGATTATCCTGCTCTGCGGGTTATAATACTATATATTTTGTGGTCCTGCTTACTACCAGTGGCATAACAAATTTTACAAATCCAGGTAAGACTTCTTTCCTCAACTCCAAACTCATATATCCAGTTGTCTATTCAGCATCTCCATGTGATAACAGATTGACGTGTCTGAAACTGAGCTCTTGGTATCTGCCGCCTTCTCTGAAAAACAAAACTAAAAACTATTTCACCAATTTCCCTGTCTCAACTGATGGCAACTTCCATCGGCTGAACCCAAGAGTCTTAGAGTTGCCGTGAACCCTCTCTCTCTCTCTCCAACCGCCCATCCGATCTCAGGAAATCCCGTTGATTCTACTTTAAAACAGCCATGGTTCAGCCAGTTCCCGCCGCTCTCATCGTCACCACCTTGGCTCAGGCTGCCCTTATTTCTCAACTGGGTGACTGCAACAGCGCCCTGCCCGGCCGCCCTGCCACCATCGTCGCAAAACATGCTAGGTCATGCCGCTTCTCCGCTCCAAGCCTCTCACTGGCCTCTCACGCCCCACAGAGTGAAGGCCAAAACTCCGCTGAGGGCCCCCACGGCCCTGCATGAACTGAGACCTGTTACATTTCCAACCCCATCACCTGTTCACATTCTCTTCATTCCTCCCGTCCTTCTTCCTAAAATGTGCTATAGAGATAGTCCCCCTCAGGGCCCGTGCACAGGCGTTTCCTGATACGTTCCTGTATCCTCAGGGCCACCTCCCGCCCCCTTCAAGGCCTCGTTCCAGCGCTCCCTTCCCCCTGCCGCTGCCTGATGCCCAACTCTAAACTGCAACGTGCCCCACTAGCGATCTGTTTTCGCCTCCCTTGCTCTATTTTCTTCCCACAGCAGTCATCGCTGCGGCAGTCGCGAGACCGTGCCTCTCAGACACCCAGCACGGAGCGGAATCGGCCAACTGTCCCAGCTGTTGGCTCTGAAATGTATCCCTGCACTTCCATCCAGGCCGCCCCGCGGGGGCTGCTCCGAGCCAATGGCTGAGCGTGGCCGGGGCGTTGAGGCAGGCTCCTTCCTGGGTGACACAGCACCTGGCCGGGGCTGACTGGGACTCTTGAGACTCGCTGCCGCCTTGGCGGTCTCCCTCAGACTGCGCTGCGCAGGAGGCTGTTCGGACCCAGCGCTGCCCGCCTCGCGCCTTCACTCGGGTCAGACTAGCACCGGCTCTGCCTACCACTCCCCCCGATTCCCAGCTCCGGTCTTTTCTCCTAAGTCCCTACGTTCTCTCCTATGGTCGTTCTACTAATAAAATCCAGCACATCAAGCCCACCTAGCATTCGTGCCTAACCATCTTCTCACCTCCTATATTTTGCTTGCTTATGATATTTATCCTTATTGTCTACGAAAACAGAAGTTCCGGCAGAGCAGCTATGCTATTTATTCGTGAATCCCAAACACCTAGCGCAGTGCCTGACACATCGTAAGTGCTCATTAAGGAGATGCAGAGTAAATGAATACCAAAGGCGTTAAAATAATAGCAATTATTAGTGTTCTCAACGAAATAAGTGAATAAACACAGGATGATACCCACGAGTTGCCCCAACTCTGCTCCCTCTTAAATTCCCTGATACTCTTATTTTGTTGAATCCTCCCTTTGACTAGGAAATCCCTAGGTTTTCCCATAGCAGAAATGGGATTTGAGAGGTAAATTGTTTTTAGGAAAAGATCCAGACTAATAATTGGATGAAGGCCCACCCGTTCTGGGCAGCAAATACACAGCTCTGCCTGAGCTATTTATCACTGCTGCTCTCCTGCCTTTCATTGCAGCCAGAATCGGCTGATAAACAAAATCAAACATTTTGAAAGTTTGACTTTTTTTTTTTTAAGCTTGAATAGCCATTCAATAATAATCAAACTTGGCCCACCTTGAGCCCATGCCCCTGCTCCCTGGGCTCCCGGAATGTCTCCAGAGCACGTTGGCGCGAGGACAAGCCCCTCCCGGGGGTGATTCCAGACCAGACACGGCTGCGCTGACCCTTCAGTGCTGTGGCTGGGGTTCCAAGTGACAACGTGCAGAAATCTTTCCCCACAAGAGCCATGAAGTGTATCCAGAGGAGACTCCCGCAAGGTCCCGCCCGGGGGTTTGGAACCCACCTATCGGCGTTCTGGGGGCTACATGGAAGAGGAGGCTGGGGGCCCCTCTTTCTCCCAAACTGCGCTCTAACCCCCGCCGGTGCTCGCCTTGCCCGGGTCCCAGGGGCGGGCCCGCGGCAGGCCTGCCGCATCATCGGACAGTCCGTCTCCAGCCGCGGCCTTGCCGCGGTCAGCTGTGCGAGGTCCCCTCTCCGAGCCTCGGTTCCCTCGTTTTTAAAGCACAGCGCACAGCACCTATTTCCCAGCACCTTGTAAGATAAAGAGGATGTAAATCCTCTTTAACTGCAGAGAGAACTCAGCGCATAGTAGCAATTTGTATTCCTGGTACCAACAAGGTAAGGAAATTAAGCTCTATGTCCAATGATAAGTGTGTCCCTTTAACCTCTTCAGCTGAGGTGTTGGTATGAAGGTGTCTGATAGCATCCAAGCACCTACCAACGAGGTAGGTGGTGGAGAGGAGGTACTTGCTCTAAAACGGAATTAAAGAGATGCAAGGAAAAGAGATCAAAGTCCATTGGGAAGCCCCCCCAGCATCTGCTTGGCACTAAGAGTTCCCAGCGGCTTGGCCCCTTTTCCCTCAAGAGCCACAGTGCTGGGCTGCACACGCTATAGAATGTCTCACCCCACGATCAAAGGCTCACCCTTTCTCTTGCATAACCCGTGAGGTCAAAAGGGGCACCTTCCTGAAAGCCAAGTGTCATTTCTGAACACGGTCCAAGAAAGAGCTGCATTCCACAGAGACCCACGAACTCACTGAGGGTAGTTCTCGACGTCGGCGCCGCAGGCAGCACTGCGGGTGGGCCAAGCCCCTGACCGAGTCACGTTAGCGCCTTGGGTCTCCCCATGACGACGCAAAGATGCCCAAGTTTGAAACACGCGGCGGCGGCGGCGGCGGCGGCGGCGGGAGGGGAGCTCGCGGCCAGCGCCCCCCCCCCACCCCGCCCCCTGCAGTAAGTTCTAAAGAAACACTGAGGCGCGGCGTTAGTGTCTACAGCCCATCAGGGGAAGGGGCACAAGGGCCGGGGCCAGGGGAGATCGTGTCTCTGCGGAGCCTGGAGGAGCAGAGGCAGGTGAACTGCGTGCAAACACGCGCAGACCCCACGGCAGGGGCGGGGGAAGCCCCCAGCGCCGGGCTCCCTGAGCCACCCTGGGACACAATGAACTGGGCAGCGAACAGTTAATAAGCAATGTGCTTCGCTCACTGTGCACATTACAACAAAGGGCTGGCGGCTCCCGGGGGAAAAGGGCTGGTGCGCTGCCGTTGAAACTTGTCAGTCAGCTGGTGCCAGCAGCCCGGCGTGGCCGCCCCGCGCGCCCTGCTCTGCGCATCTGCTCGCAGGCGCGGCGGCGGCGGCGGCGGCGGCGGCTCCTCCCGGCCGCGGGGCAACGAGAGCCCTGCTCCTGCCTCGGCGTCGCCCCGCTCCTCTCGCCGCCGCGGTCCCCGCTGTACGGTCGCTCGCTCGGACTGCCCTCCCCGGCCGCCTGCGCCTGCCCGCTGCAATGGAGGAGGCCGAGCTGCTCAAGGAGAGACTCCAGGCCATCACAGTAAGTGCGCGCACAGCGGGGACTCGCGGACTTGCGGCTCCGCGCCGGCGGCCGCGCTGCCGCTGGCCCCGCCGCCCAGCCCGGCGAGGGTGGGCGCGCGGAGCTGTCATCCCCCGGGGACGCGTCCGGGCCGCTCCCCTCGCCCTGGCTACCCTGGTTCTCGCCCCCCGCCCCCTGGGCTTGCGAACCGGAGCGCAGAGTAAAGGGTCTTGATTTCTGCACAAGCTGTTGCCTACGCTTTCAACAGCCCTCAGACGCTTGTAAGGCGCTTTGGTTGACCTTCTATGTACCTTAGAAACGCAGTTTTCCCTTAAAGTTATATTTCACGGACCTTGGATCAAAAGTCCCCAAACTTGGGAACTTTTTAAAGCAATACACCCAAAAGTGAAAATCTTTTAAAAGGGAGAGAGACAAGAAATAAACTTGAAACTTTTTATTGGTAGTGTGGTGGTAGGTTCCAGAAAGCCTACCAAAATGAAAATAAATCTTGTACCGCAGCTAAGCATTAAAGAAGAGGAAAGTGAGCAAAAGCACGTATCAGCTGCGTTCTCAGGTATCAGCTTCCAGCAAACCCACCAGCCGAGTGAGACGCGGCTGCGGGAATGCAGGGCGCGCGATCCGGCGGATTTGGAAAATATTCCGTTAATACCGGGAAGGCAAATAATGCATTTTTTATGTTTGTTCTGGGAAAGAGTCAAGGCAAGAAATGAATTACTTTCCTTAAATGACCCAGCTTTTTGAACTTAATTTCATTAAATCCTCTCCTTGGCAGTAACCTGAAGTCTGGGGCACAATCATTTATCACTCGCTACAACTTCTGAGGTCATTTTTTTTTTAAGAGGAGAAACTTTGGAAGTCAACATCCCGATTTCACAGCGCTTTCTGTCACCGAAATTAGCTGCCAGAAAGAAATGAGTACTTTTTAAAAACTGGTGCTAAATCGGGGTCCGCAGGGGGACATGTTTCTTTGCTCTTCAGACTCCCATGGCATAAGCAATACTGCTAGTCCCGATCCAGGATTTTTATTAAATGGATACAATGTCTCAGTTCCACCCAGAAAGGACTCAGTACATCGAAATATTTTCCCAGCCAATTGTGAGGCACCAGAAGACTAAGGTTGGCACTTTTCCGTAAGACAATGCTTGTGAAATGCCTCGCTTCTAACCAGCACCGTTCCCTTATCCTGCCGGGAGAACTTCGGTCTGGGCTGCCGCTGGGGTTGCTTCACTCTTTTCTGCTGTGAAATTCGGCCGCGGGTTCGGCTGTCCCGCGTGGGGGGACAGGGACTCGGCCCTGCTCTGTTGGTTTTGGCACTGGCCTTGAGCGTCACAGCTGTTGTCTAAAGGTCACTGTATGCGACCGTGTGAGACGGGTTCCGCTCTCTCCGAGCTTCTGCCTCCGCGTCACCTAAATTAAATGGTGTGCCCCACGAAACACGTGCGGAGCTCCCTGTTGCCCGTCTGGCTTTTGTTTTTGTAAATTGGGGCTGCCCTCGCTGAAGCCCTGGCTCCCGCCAGCGCCCCGTGCACCTCCTACTGAAGCGGCTTGCAGGTCAAGGCAAGCCGACCTGCAGGCACCTGGGGCGCAGGGCACCGTTACTGAGGGCGCCCAGTGCAGGTGGCGATAGAATGAGCCTCCTCGTGCCTTACGAGCAGGCCAGAGAGCACTGGCGTGTGCTTTGGGGGATGATGTTTTAAAATATGACTCTTGGGACTCTTCCATTCGCCTCAGCCTATCCCATTAGGAAGAATTAAGCAAACCTCCACAGTAAGACCATAAAGTAATACTGTCTTGGAAGTAATATGTTTGCAGAAAGGTCATAAGGAAAAAATGGGGAAAAGTTTATGGGAACAAATTTCCACTACCTTAGTCCAGTCCCCAGGCTAAGTCCAGTCCCATTTGTCACCACCTAGAGGAAAACTGGAGCAGTGCTGTATCCATGGAGACAACACATGCCCCCGCCTCCCTCCCGGACACCCTGACAAGGCCAGCTCCCTGCCCCTGCTTACCCAGGAAGCGCCTCAGCTGTTCGCCTGCCCCCGGACACACGCACGCACAGTATCCGGCTTGCGAGGGTATTGCACTTGGGGAAATACTCAAACTCCTCAGAATCTCTGACCCAGGGACGATCTTCTCATTTTAACTCTTTTCCTCCTATTTCCCTACACGAAAACAATTTTTGTGTACATGCTTCACAAACAGAGCCATCAGATAATTGCTCCGTGTTTCCACACACAGCAACTCCTGGATGTCACTTCATTAGAAAGGGGAAAACAAAACAAAACAAAACAAAACCTTTTTTACACTCTAGCATCTATTTGATTTTTATATTAAAATTTATTCTTCCAATTCCTGGCTGTGAAACAAAATAATCTCTACCGTTGAATTTATTCCACCTGGTTTGGAGTCTCCAAACAGTCATTATTTCCACTGCAAGGAACTGGAAAAACAAATGTATGCGCCTGCAACTTGACAGAACCAAGGAGCTGTCTTCTTTTTTTTTTTTTTTTTTAAGGGGAAAAAAAAAGGATTAAACACAGTAAGTAGGTAGAATGGGTCGCTTAGACTCTCGACCCGAAAACCAAATTACTGGGATGGTAAATTGAATTGTAGATTAGTCAGACGTCTTCTCAAAGAGGATGGAGAGAAAGTCAGGAAAGCCCACAGACACGACCGCTCAGAAGGAAGTATGTCAGCGTGGGCCTGCGAATACAGGTCCTATTCTGCGCACTCACCCTCGCGTTCCTCCTTTATTGCCTTCCCCGTGACCCAGGCTTCTCCTGCTGAATGAATGGCCGAGGGGTGTCTCAGCCTAAGAGTCCAGTTTCCAGCTACTACTGCTTCAAACTGGTGAAATAGTACTTTGATTAGAAAGTCTCTTGAGGCTCTTTTCAAATCAGTACATAGTTGAACAAATAGCTGATTTTTGTACAAAAGGAGAGCTACAGACGGAGCCCAGTACTCTGAAATTGACTTTTAATAATAGTGGAACCGATGAACCAACGTGCCCGGTGCCCTCGGGAGCAGTGCGCTGAAGGACCCGCAGAGTTGGGGGTAGACTCCTCTGTGGAATCACATGCGGCCCCCACCAAAGAACAGGGAAAAGGCCCAGGTGAATTCCCCTGAGAAATAAAAGGTCCCATAAAGATGAGTCATTTCCCATAGGCCCTTCGACATCCTCCCATGCAAGGAACTTATCCCCATTCCTCCTGTGTTAGAAAATCCTGTTACTCAATAACAGAGGAAGACTCGAACCAGGAAACCCCTGGATCTTAAACTGGCTCGCCTCTCAAAACTGGTATGTTTGAGGGGCTAAGATCAGAAGAAGTCTGAGCCCTTGGATTGATTCTCAGAGAACAGATCAGCTGGGGGGAGAGGGGTAAGAATCTAGCCGGCATTTTAATTCTCATCAAGGCTTAGCTTTAACTGGTAGGATGTGTGTTATCAAGTCATTCTCTCATCCCTTTATTCAATTATTGGGTATTGGGCAGCTGCGACGTCCCAGCCTTATGTGTTTACATGAGAAGAAGAGGAATCAGGGGACTCGTGAGTGTCGGCAAGGACAGGAGGGGCGTGTCACCTACAGCGGCGTGGCCAGGATGCGCCTCAGAGAAAGGGTGACACTGAGCGTGGACGGGGAGGAGGTGAGCCCTGGCAAAACTCAGGCAATCGCAACAATCACAACAATCACAAGAACGAGCACCTGCCTAGGAGCGACGCCATTGGAAGGCAGCCACAGAAAGAAAGGGCTGACGCTGGAATTTGAGAACGGAGCCAGATTTGCCGGCCAAAGCCGCGCGTGACGCGAAGTGAGAAGGAGCTCACATTTCCCGGCCCCGGTCCCTGCTTCTTTCCTCTCCCAACGAATAGAGAATTTTTTTCTAGGCTTGTGAACATAGGCGCTTAGGGGGCAGAAAGTTGTTACATAAAACAGAAACCTACCCAGTACAAAGACCAATGTTAAAACAATAACATCAACACACGCAGGTCTGAGGTATTTCTTTAGCCCGGGGGGGCCTCGTCACTGGTCACTCCAGCTCTCGCCTCACGTCTGGTGTATCCCCACCTGGGATCTTCTCGCAGTTCGTAAGACAGGGGGTGACCTCAAAGCAGGACCCACAATCCAACTCGTGGGGACACAGGAAACTAGAGGAGGAGCCTCGTTCAAAACTCATTCAGAATTTCAAGATGGGGGCAGCAGAGCATTAAACTAAGTGCCCCGGGCCCTTCTGAGCACGGAGCCTTGTAGGACATCACGGGTCCCAGGCCCGGGGATCTGGCCCACTTGCCTTTCCCAGGCCGGCCACTTTACGTGTTCCCCTCTTCGCTCCACCTGTACAAACGCGAGAGCAAAAACAGGAGCAAGGCCGCCTGGCTCCTGAGTAGAGGTGGACATTGGTGTGTGTTTGGGCCATGGCCCCCCTGCGTGCTGTATGGACGTCTCCGAGCAGCAGCATCACGCACCTCCGGTCCAGCACACCTCGTGGTTAAGACAGTTACAGGAAGGACTCCCAGTCTGTCACAAACGTCTCCAGAGCCTCACGCAAAGATGGCACCAGGGCCGGGAGGAGTCTTCCGAATAGAGAAGTCCTGGGCCAGGATGTTCGAACAATAATGCCTCCGCCCAATTTTCCACCGTGCTGTCCTGGGATGACATGTTTCCTCCAGAGGAGGAAAGGTTTCTTCCAACAAATGCGCTCGGCCGCACCGTTGCCAAGCATAATAGCCCACCCACGGAGCAGGCCACGTAAGGAGGCAAAATAATGGTGAGAGCTGATTAAGGAAACCGCTGTTTGATAACAGGGCAAGGTTTTTCCAGTGTGCTGCATGGTGATAATGCTGCTCTGCCAAGCCCTGCACCCACAAGGGTCCCCGTGAACTTTCTGAACGCCACTGGTGGTCAGAGGAAGAGCCGCCTCTGTAGAAACCTGGCGTGGGAAACACGTGGGCCCAAGCGCCTGAGTCTCGTGAGCACCCAAGCACGTGCAGCCTGGCCCGGG